CAGAGTTCCACATAAGACGTTGTTCTGGAAACTGGAAAATATTGGAGGGGTGACAGGTAAGCTTCTAACATGGATGAAAAATTTTCTGACTGATAGAAAAATGAGGGCAGTGATCAGAGGAAATGTATCGGACTAGAGAAATGTCACAAGTGGAGTACCACAGGGTTCAGTTCTTGAACCAGTGATGTTTATTGTCAACATAAATGATCTACTAGTTGGTATACAGAATTATATGAACATGTTTGTTGATGATGCCAAGATAATAGGAAGGATTAAAAATTTAGATGATTGTCATGCCCTTCAAGATGACCTGGACAAAATAAGTATATGGAGCACCACTTGGCAAATGGAATTTAATGTTAATAAATGCCATGTTATGGAATGTGGAATAGGAGAACATAGACCCCACACAACCTATATATTATGTGAGAAATCTTTAAAGAATTCTGATAAAGAAAGAGATCTAGGGGTGGTTCTAGATAGAAAACTATCACCTGAGGACCACAAAGAATATTGTGCGAGGAGCCTATGCCACGCTTTCTAACTTTAAAATTGCTTTCAAATACATGGATGGCGATATACTAAAGAAATTGTTCATGACTTTTGTTAGGCCACAGCTAGAATATGCAGCGGTTGTGTGGTGCCCATATTTTAAGAAGCACATCAACAAACTGGAAAAGGTGCAAAGACATGCTACTAAGTGGCTTCCAGAACTGAAGGGCAAGAGCTACGAGGAGAGGTTAGAGGCATTAAATATGCCAAAACTAGAAGACAGAAGAAAAAGAGGTGCTATGATCACTACATACAAAATAGTAACAGGAATTGATAAAATCAATAGGGAAGATTTCCTGAGACCTGGAACTAAGAACATGAGGTCATAGATTTAAACTAGCTAAACACAGATGCTGAAGAAATATAATAAAATTAACCTTCGCAAATAGAGTGGTAGACGGTTGGAACAAGTGAAGTGAGAAGGTGGTGGAGGCCAAGACCGTCAGTAGTTTCAAAGCATTATATGAGAGTGCTGGGAAGACGGGACACCACGAGCGTAGCTCTCATCCTGTAACTACACTTAGGTAATTACACACACACACAGTGTACACAAGTACATGTGCAAACACAAAGACACGTGAAAAGAAAATTACAAGCCGCCGACCAGTGCACAGAGAGCACCACGCCGGCCAGGCGAAGAAGGCACAAAACTGCATCAAAAGGCACACCTCGACAACAAAACCTCAAAGTTCCAGCACGACCACAACATGTGCCAAGACCCAAAAAAGATCAGTCTGCAAGCCAGGAAGATCCCCGGACCTCCAGAAGGCAGAACCAGGTCAAACACGAGGAAACAAAGCCCCCTGAACCCACAAAGGGGGCCCCAAGAGGAATAAACCTCCGGAACAAAACCAAAGAACCCAAAGAACCCAGAATCGAACCAGGGGGAACGCAAACCACCACATTTGCCGGCGGAGATACACCACAGAAAGGCAAAGCACAGCCCCAGACAGAACCCCCAGGGAAACGGTCAAAACAGACCGAAAACCGAGGGACAAGGTGTGGGAGCAAGCATAACAGCCAGGGACACTGAGCCCAAACCCAAGGGCCCAGACCCAAAACAGACAAAATGGAAAACCCGGTGTAAAATCAACACTCAAACGTTCCCAGAGGAACAGGAAATGGGCAGAAAACACCAGAAAAAGCATAGAAACCACAACAGGAGAATAAAAACCCTAAAAAAGGGTGAAAAAACTCACCCCAGACGCTCGCTCGCACACCCAGGCGCATGTAAACACACCACAATGCCGCCCTGGAGGACACGCCGGGAAACCGGCAGAAGAAAATGACCACCAGAACAGAGGGCTGTGACCGACGCAAAAGATACGAAAACACGCCAGGAAAAGTGGGAAGCAAGCAGACTGTATGGGCAAAAAACTCTGCCCAAAAGCAGAAAACCCAGGCAGGGGCAAACCGCCCCAGAACTGCTAGCAGGCAACCGCCCCACAGCTCCGGGAACCAGCAACAGAGGCCACGGGGCAGAGCCGTCCACCAAGCCCTTCACCCTTAAAGAAAAGGAAGAGTCCATGGGAAAGGCAACAAAAAAGGGCCGCTGGTCAGACCCAGAAGCTTTGGCAGGAGGAACAGGCTCGAAAACCTCTGTCCCCAACCCGAACGGGGCAGCCCCCAAAAACCGCTCAAGTCTCGGCCCTAACTAAACCCCACCCTGACCCCGAAACTCGCAGACAGTCTGGAGCCGGGAACAGGGAGGGAAAGGGGCAAACAGCACCTAACCAAAATGGGGCGGCCTCGGGGTATCCGAGTGGGAAACCAACCTAGCGTGTTGCAGCAACCAAACCTAGCTTGCAACACGGATGCCGCCTGTACTCTGAACAGTAATAACATCAGGAGAGTACTGGGAGAACAAGCAGAGAATCTCTCTCGCAAGACTCCGGGTCAAGGTGTCAGTGACCCAACAGGCAACATGGAGGTAAAAGTGGCAACTGTCACCCGGAGACAAGGGCACAGCAACCAACAATCCCATACAAGATGGGTTGGAACCCAGAAGACACATTCAATGATCCACCGAGCTCAGACAGGGGTTTCCAGGGCCCATAGGCTGACTGCTACTGGAAGCCCGGGCAAGGTATTGCTAACCGGTTAAGAAATCCAAAAATAACAAGAGGGTAGAGGATAGCACTGAAAACCCCTGCGACGTGTACAATCACGGGGGCCTAGCAGAGGGCCACCAAACTTTACCAGTGGAACCATAGCCACACTAGCCAGGCCCCCACCAGGCACATGAAAATAAAAACAAAAGAAAAACCCCGCAAAAGTACACCGTCTTCAGAGGCAACAGGAACTGGTCGCCGCTTAGGTGGCAGGTCACGTAACACCTTGATGCCCTAACCAGCACAATACCAGTCTTTACCCAGGGCCAAACATGGGCCCCAAGCCCAAGCTGGCCCCAGAGGCGAGGCAAATGCCGAGCAGCAAGAACCTCTACAGGAATAGTTCCCGAATGCCCCAAGGAAGATAACCCTGTCACGCAGGGGCAGTACTCACATGGCGCTTAAGGTTAAGGAAGGAAGCCCCTAAGCGCATGCAGCCCCGGCACTGATGAGGTACTCCTGGCCACCGCACAACACAACACACGGCAGTGAATGCCACACAGGGCAAACACCGCCTAGGAGACTGAGGCCAGAGAAGCGTCTATCCCGGTTGACATTAGCTTACGAACTGAAGCTAGGCAGCCGGTGCGGTAGGTCCGGGGCTCCCCCCTCCCCCTCTCGGGGCGGGGAGGGCTGCACGGACGATCGGCGCGGCAGTAAAGTGTGATGTTTGCTTGTTTGCTTCTTTCCTTGGGATTGTAGGGAGTCTCTACCTCTCTGTTCATTTTTTTACCATGTGGGGTTTGTTTTGTCATGCCTACCTTTCTGGGTGCCTAACCCCAGTCGATGGCAGATAAGGAAAACCCCAGCCACAAGGGGGTTTTCCAGGGCTATTGCTCCCTGAAACCTCTCTGAAGGTGCCAGGTTCTGGCGCTGGTCCCTGGTAGGTCTGAACTCCCTAGCTAATGTCCCGGTCTAATATAACATACATTAGCCCGATAAGCTCCAGGGAGCCGTAGGGGCTCCCCACAGAAACAATGAACTTCACCCTGAGACAAGGGGACAGAACAACCTTCAAACTCACATAAGGCGAGAGGGAACCTTTGGGTTCCATTCTGGGAACCTCTGGGACCATTCCCTCTCTGTACTTCCCATTCCAGAGGTTGCATCCATTGGACACCATGCACCCCCATTGGGTTCCCAGGGCCCCTAGACTGGTATCACTAATGGAAAGCCCAGGCAGGGTACTGGTAACTGGCGCCCAAGTCTACCAACAAACTTCTAAAACTCGACCTCTGGAATGTGTCCACTCACGGGGACCAAGCAGGGGGTACCGCCGGACACCAGAGGTCATGAACCTATTATAAATGGGGGGAAGGGACACAAGGCAGACCTCCCTACCAGGCAGAAACAAAAAAAGAAAAATCCTGCAAGAGGACAACGTACTCAGGAGGAACAGAGCCGGCCACTGTAATAGGTGAAAACTAGCTGCGCAGTACCCTATGCCCCACCAGTGCAAAAACTACCACTTACCCCAAGATAAATAACAGAGGAAAAAAAAAACCACACTTGGGGCAGTCAATCACCGAGCAGCAAAAGACCAACAGAGGCCGACCCCAAGGTGACTTGTGGAAGATAACCCTAAGCCCCAAGGGTGGTACTTACAGGGCACTCAGGTAAGGGAACCCTAAGCACATGTAGCCCGGGTACCTGTCCAAATTACCTGTGAATATTACTCCCTGCTCACACACCACCATAAGAGCAGTACTAAACACAAGGCACAGCACCTCACACAGAATCTGGAGCTGGAGCCACACAACCATGCCACAATCACATCAGCCAAGAACTGGAGGGTGGATCCCTGGCACAGTGGGTCTGGGGCTCCTCCTTTCCCCTCCCAGGAAGAGGGGAGTTGCGCAGACATGCGATGCTGCTCGTGTGACGCCATATTCATTTGCTTGTTTTCATTTGGGGAGTTCTGTCTACTCTTTTGTCTATTTTAGTCATCTTATCCAGAGTAGGGGTTTGTTTTGTGGCGCTTACCTTTCTAGGTGCCTGACCTGGTCGATGGCAGACATAGAATGCTCCAAATCTCATGTGCATTTCTATAGACCATTGCTCCACGTGCCTCTCTGAGGGAGGCCAGGTTCTGGCTCGTGGTCCCTGGTACGCCTAGAACTCCATATACACTGACTGGTGCCAAAGTCTATTGATATACGTATCAGCCTGGATAGCTCCAGGGAGCCGAAAGGGCTCCCCACACAAAAGTCCTGTATAACATAAAGGAGTTTGTATGCTTAACAAGTACAAAAATGACAAATGACCAAGGAGAAGGCAAGACAGTTTTCTAGTATAAAGCAAAAGGGCTTCAAGTTTTTCACTACCACCAACACTCACCACACTACACTTGGGGGTTTGGGTGCGCAAGTGGAGGAACTCATCGAAGCTGGCAGCACGGTGGCCAACAGGCGGGGTCACCAGATGGCGCAGGATCTTCTTGCTGTCCGCACGTGGACTTGCCGTCTGAGATCGACACTTGTGGGTGCTGCGGCGAGGGCTGCTGCTGCTGCTGGCTGCTGCCGATCCACCTGCACCTTAAACCCAGGGAGGAGTTAACATTACCTCCTGCCACTTTTTCCATAGCTTGGGGAGAGGCCTTCTGGTGCTGGTGTGGGATGGTGGGGACCAGTTAAGAGTGGTAGAAAGCATGATTAACAGGGATATGGTTTCACTGATGGAGTAGTGAACAGGGTGAAAAGGCTAAATTAGGGGAATGGAGCATAATGTAAATAGGAGGTAGTAGTGCGGGACACAATATGATGATGGAGAAAGCAACGTGATGATGAGGGAAGCAGCGTGATGATGGGGTAAGCAACATGAGGCAATCTCTGCCATCATAGGCTAGTTCCAACATCCAAGAATAGCTCTGCCATAATAGGCTAGTACACTAATGAGACTAGTGCATCATTCAGAGTACTGGACTGGAGGATAATGCACTTCATGTCATTACCCTCTGAGTGCTATTGCAATAAATTTCAAAATCGTTCAGAGGCGCCATTGAACAATTTCAAATTTTCCACCAAATCTGCACAATGTAGTTTCCTTAAAAAACAAAATCTGTATCTATCATCTCAATCTTAGCACATTAGTATATGTTTACTAAACTATATACAAGCTCGGAAGTACTTCGAGGACATCTTCAACTTAGGATTGTTTTGACAACCTCATAGCAATAAGGAGCTCATAAATTGTTGATCAATTTCCTACTAAATACCAATAATTGAGATCAGAAAAACGGTTCTCATAAGTGCTTTGTGAATCCTGGTCCAGGGTTCTAAGACACTCAACATTTTATGTTAAGTTTCACTCGGCAGAGCACAGTGATGATAGTGGGAAGATCAATTTGATGGTAGGGGTAGACCAATGTGAGGGTAGGGGGGACTGAGCAATGTGATTGCAGGGAGTTGATGAATGTGATGGAAGTGGGGTAGATTAATGAAATGGTATGGAGTAGAGTAACATAATAGGAATGGCTGGGTCAAAGTAATGGTAGGGGATGAACCAACGGAGATAATGCAGTAGGTGGAGGGGTGGGTTAGGGGGTTGGTAAGAGGCACCGGTGGTAATCGTGGCATCAATGACGGTACAGTTGTTGACAAAGCGCCTCTTTGGTGATAACAGCATACCAAATCATGGTGGAAATGCTTACAAAATCCATTTATAATGGCAGTGGACAATGTTAACTATATTAAGCAAGACAAAAGGCATGAGGCTTCACTTATAACATCTAATGTTTTTTTTACTTTACACTACAAGAGGGATTTATATCTTACATTGCCAAAGGTTATACACACAACACATCAACAAGACATGTGTAGCATCAGGTAGACTTTCTTAAATTAAATGACCAACTCCTTAGGAACGTGTGATTTAATTATTTATTTCTTAGACTTTATTTACCTAACAACCTAAATATATTTCTTATAAAGCACAAACCAGTTAAGCCCAACTTTACAATACTGAATTGTATGGAGATAAATAGGAATATACAAACATATATGCATATTATATATTTTATATTTTATTATATATATATATATATATATATATATATATATTTTATATATATATATATATATATATATATATATATATATATATATATATATATATATATATATATATATATATATATGTCGTACCTAATAGCCAGAACGCACTTCTCAGCCTAATATGCAAGCCCCGATTTGCCTAATAAGCCAAGTTTTCATGTAATAATTGTTTTTCGACTACCTAACCTACCTAACCTAAACTAACCTAACTTTTTCGGCTACCTAACCTAACCTAACCCATAGAGATAGGTTAGGTTAGGTTAGGTAGCGTTGGTTAGGTTCGGTCATATATCTACGTTAATTTTAACTCCAATACAAAAAATTGACCTCATACATAATGAAATGGGTAGCTTTATCATTTCATAAGAAAAAAATTAGAGAAAATATATTAATTCAGGAAAACTTGGCTTATTAGGCAAATCGGGCCTTGCATAGTAGGCCGAGTACGACGTTCTGGCTACTAGGTACAACATATATATATATACATATATATATATAATGTGATTTAAATAACCTGCAATTCGAGACAGGCATTATTAAAGTAAAAATAGTTCCATTTAATAATCAAGAGCAAACATCAATGTGGACAAAGTTAAAAGTACAAATACAAACAACAATTCTATCAGCAAGGACTCATAACTACCACAATCATTATCGTAATGTTGGGCACACCAGCACATCGTTATGTACACAACACAGGAAGGTCATTATTAAACTTAAACTGGGAATAAATTTGTCAATGGGAAAATAAATTCAAAGGCGAGAGAGAGTCTATGAGAATAAATTTTGATAAGTGGGAAGATCATGGCAACTAGGACCACACTCAAATAATTTAAGTAAATGACATTATATACAAGTTGTTTAAGGAAAAGCTACACACACACACACACACACACACACACAACTTCAAAGCGTTATATGACAAGGAGTGCTGGGAAGATGGGACACCATGAGTGTAGCTCTCATCCTGTAATTACACTTAGGCAATTACACACACATGCACACGCGCACACAAATATAATCGGATAAAAAACTGGGTTATGTTAATAAGTTAAAAAACATTATTATTATTATTATTATTATTATTATTATTATTATTATTATTATTATGCTCCTGGGTTTTGATGTGAAGAATAGATACAGAAGACACAGGATGCAACGAACGGTATGAGATGCAAGGTAAAGGGTACAGGTGAAGGCTGTAAGATAAAGGGTATAAGTGATAGGTATGGGATGCAAGGTAAAGGGTACAGATGAAGGGTATGAGATGCAAGGTAAAGCGTACAGGTGAAGGGTATGAGATGCAAGGTAAAGGGTACAGGTGAAGGGTATGATATGCAAGGTAAAGGAGTAGAGGTGAAGGGAATGAGACAAGGTAAAGGGTACAGGTGAAGGGTATGAGATGCAAGGTAAAGGGTACAGGTGAAGGGTATGAGATGCAGGTAAAGGGTACAGGTGAATGGTATGAGATGCAAGTAAAGGGTACAGGTGAAGGGTATGAGATGCAAGTAAAGGGTACAGGTGAAGGGTATGAGATGGAAGTAAAGGGTACAGGTGAAGGGTATGAGATGCCGGTAAAGGGTACAGGTGAAGGGTATGAGATGCAGGTAAAGGGTACAGGTGAAGGGTATGAGATGCAGGTAAAGGGTACAGGTGAAGGGTATGAGATGCAGGTAAAGGGTACAGGTGAAGGGTATGAGATGCAGGTAAAGGGTACAGGTGAAGGGTATGAGATGCAGGTAAAGGGTACAGGTGAAGGGTATGAGATGCAAGTAAAGGGTACAGGCGAAGGGTATGAATTTTGAGTTACATGGTACAGGTGAAGGGGTATGAAATGCAAGTTACAGGGTACAGGTGAAAGGCATGATATATAAGCAACATGTTACAGATGAAGGGTACAAGATGCAAGGTATTGGATACAGCTGAATGATACAAGACAAGAGACATGGTTCAGGTGAAGGGTACAAGATGCAAAGTACAGAAGTACAGGGTATATATAAATGGTACAAAACAGGAGCCACAGGTCACAGATTAAGTTAAATGTCAGTAAAATACAGAGTGAAGCACAAAAGCACAGTGATACATAAAAAAAACAGCATGGAATGTAATGAAAAGCCACTTTCTGGATGAGCCCTGGAGGCTCCCTGGAGCTATTGAACTGATATAAGCTATATTAGTCTGGGGCTTCAGTCACATGGAGTTCTGCCTACCAGGAACAATGAGCCAGAACTTGGCACTGCACAAGAAACAGTGGTCTATGAAAACCCCACTATGAGAGTATATTCATATCTGCCATCGACCGGGATTAGGCACCCAGACAGGTAGGTGTCTCAAAGCAAACCCCAACTGATAGAATAATGCAACCCAAAGCCAAACAGAGCCCAAGAACTCCCCCTCAAGAAAAAATGCAACAAGCAACAAGCAATGCAACAAGTGCACCTCGTTTACTAGACTGGTCGAGGTGGGGGTACCTGTACCTCTTTCCCCCGGTCCACCTGTAGCTTCGGGCTCTGACTCGTCTGGAGTTCTATTGAGGAAGGATTCTCCTTCTGGCCCCATGGTGGGCAGTCCAGCCTTGATTTCAGTCGCTGCTTGCTCAGTGACTGAACCAGGGGCATTTTCAGTGGCTCCGCCTCTCCCAGCAGATCGGGCCGGTGAGGTACATTGCTAGTTTGACCTACTCTTTGGCTCTTCGTGTCTGGTATTTTTGACGCGTGTGTATCACCACTTGTATGATGATCAGGTGGCTTCTCTCATGGTGTCCCATCTGTGGTCTTCTAGGAGACAGTATGAAGTCTCTCGGAATTCCTTTCACCACTTCCTTTCTCTTCGTAGGTTACCTTCTGTTTCTGTTCATGTTGTCTTGTCTTTCCTTTCTTGGTTGTTTCAGGACTGACATCTTATGCCGAATGCTGTCGTTTCTTATCGAGCTGCGCTGGCATAGCCGCTCCAGCTTGTGTTCAGGGTGGATGTCACTTCGGCTCTGTTCTGTAAGCTTTCTCGTGTATTTTTCCCACCTCCGATCTGCTCATGTGCAGCTGAGCCGTTCTGGTTTTTTGACCCGGTGCTCTCTTTTCTCTCTCTTCTCCTCGGTTTGTTGTGACCCCTTCAGTTTAAAATTTTCAGAAAGCTTTGTTTCTGTTGACTTTGGCCTCTGTGCGTCGGGTCATGGAGCTTCATTCTCTCCTCCATTGCAGGGACTTCTGCTCTTTTGGTCCTGGTGGACGTTTTGTAAATTTGCAGCCGTCTCCTCCTTTTCTGGCAAATAATGAGATGGCGGGTTTCCGGGAGGGGATCTGTGGGTTATTGATACCTCGTTGGTCGGGCCAGACAAGCATCATATTTTATGTCTGGTTGCGGGGGAAGAGATACAGGTAACACCACCTCGACCAGTCCTGCCAAAAGGCATCAACCCCCGATGGCCACGCAATCGGGGAAGGGCACCACATATACCGGAAGACACTTCAACCACGCCGATGCAA